AAAACAATTCAAATGATCATAGTCCCTCGATGACGCTTTCAAAAGTTGCCTAAAAATGATCAAGTCCCTTAAAGAAAAATTGCCCAAAGATACTTGGCACCATTGCAATCATGGTCTAAATGATGACCCGCGCCCGTCCCGTTCACATCCTAACACAAGATTGTCCACCAAATACAATGGTGGAACAAAATTGTTAAAAGGGTTAAAACATAGCAAAGATCTTTGAGAAATTTAGGGTAGATAGCTCTTGGTTACTTGCCAACTTGCAAAACCAAAAGACACTTGCCTATTTTTCAAACCACACATCACTACACTTTCAAAACAACTTTCAACAACCTTGAAACACCTTTTCAAAAAGACAAACACCTTTTGTAAAACATTCGAGTAAAGAATTGTTACAAGGGTTGCCTAGACAAGGCATCTTTTTTTCAAAACATTTTTAAACCCACACACAAAGCACCATTTCAAACAATTGAAAGCACCATTTCAAACAATTGAAAATGCAAGGCAAGTGATCTAAGCAAGTAACCAAGAGCACATGGATAACCATGGATAGAAAGGGTGCTAATACCTTCCCTTTCTATAATCTACTCCCCGAACCCAAGAAAACATCTCAAAGGTTTTTGCTGTGCTTTTTAACCTTTCCTTAGGATAAAATAAAAAGTCGGTGGTGACTCTTGCTCAACCAAAACATTTGCGAAAACAAACGCAAAACCCAAATCAGTTCTCCCACCGTATCACATCTAGTCATCTGAACTTCTTTGAACTTCTTTATATCTTCTGGGAAGCTACCTGTTAGCAAAATATCATCAACATAGAGACACACCAGAATCATATTGTTATCAGAGTGTTGTACATAAACTTCATATTCCATCTCACACTTGTGAAACCTCTTCTTCTTGAAAACTGAATCAATTTTCAGATTCCAAGCCTTGTTTCTCTCTATAGCATCAAGTTCTTCTTTCATGGCCTGTAACCAAACTTGGTGCTTAAGAGCCTCTTTCGTACTCACAGGTTCAGAGTCTACTAACATTGCACACAGAATAACTTCTCCTTCAGAGTTTACTTCAGTGTCTAGCAACATGTCAAACTCTGCAAATCTTCTTGGGATGCTTCTGACTCTTTGTTGCCTCTGAACTGGATCTTCAGAACTTTGAACACCAGAACTTACCCCTCCAGAAGATCTTGCTTCAGAGTTTTGACTTTCCTCAAAATCTTGACTGTCTTCAGAGTCTTGAAAATTCCCAAGGTCTGAATCATCATCAGAGTCAGAGCCACTACCTTCAGAAATACCATCTTCAAAAGTTGGATCACCTCTGCCTTCAGAAGTTCCACTTTCAGAATCATGATCGTCGTCAAAGGCTGAATTTCCTTCAGAGGCTCCTCCTTCAGAAGGTACATCCTTAGAGTCATGATTTCCACCAGAAACCTGAATCATCATCAGCATCTGGATCAGAATCCGATCCATTTCCAAAATCTTCTTTTGACTCATCTTCAGAAGCAGCATCTTCTTCAAACTCAGAATCACCTTCGGATTCAGACTTGTCTTCAGCTTCAGAGTCATCTTCTAACTCTAACTCGTCTTCAAAAACCTCAGATTCTGACTCATCTTCAAAATCTTCAGCGTCATCTTCTGATTCTGACTCAGAATCATATTCTGATTCTGACTCATACAAAATCACTCCTTCAGAATCAGAATATTCAGAGTCATATTCTTCTTCCTCTTCAGAATCAGAAAATGACAATTTCACTAGTTCCTTATCAAATTCTGATGCAAAGGGTAATCTTGGTTGCTTCCCTTCCATGCACACCTTGCATGACTTTTCAGGCTTCTTGATTGTAGGAATTCCACATACCAGGTTCTTTGATTTCAGATGCCCTAAACTTCTGAAATTCAGATGACCAAATCTTCTGTGCTACAACTCGCTCTCCTTGACAACACTTGTTGCACTAAGACATTTAGAGTCTGCAGTTCTAACATTCACCTTGAATGTTCTGTTTCTTCTCTGTTCCGACTCCATAATCAGCTTATGATTACAATCATACAACTTCAGAAGATTGTCCTTCATGGTAACTGAAAAACCTTTCTTAACCAGTTGTCCCACACTCATCAGATTGCTTTTCATGCCAGGTACATACCAAACATTCTGGATCACAGCTGCTCTTCCATTGTTTAGAATGATTCTGACATTTCCCATACCTTCTGCATTGAGGTATTTGTCATCAGCACATCTGATCTTTATACTCTTCCCAGAGTCAAAGTCAACCAACCACTTCTTATTTCTAGTAAGATGGTTTGAACACCCTGTGTCCATATACCACCATTCTGATGAATTCAGATCATCAGGTTCAGAAGACAATAATAGCACAGGTTCATCATCAGAGTCTCCTCTTGCTATATTTGCTTCTTCTGACTTCCTTTCTTTGTTGGACCAACAATCTCTGGCATAGTGACCAAAGTTCTTACAACAGTAACACCGAACATTCTTTTTGTCAGACTTCTCATTTCCTTTATGATATTTATTATCATCAGAAGTTAAGGCTTATGACTTCTGGAATCTATCACCACGTCTATTCTGCTTCTGGTCTTTCTTGACAAAAGAAGCCTTCAGAGCTTACTTAGCTTCTCTCTCAGAAGTTCTCTCAGACAGACGTAACTCCTGTGCTTCTAAGCTGCTTTGCAATTCTTCTATTCTCATGGTTTCCAGATTTTTAGAATGTTCAATAGAAACAACAATGTAATCAAACTGAGGAGTAAGCGACCTCAAAATCTTCTCTATGATTACCCGTTCTGACAGAGTTTCTCCACACGCCTTCATCTCGTTAGTGATTAGAATCACTCTGGAGATATATTCAGAAACTTTCTCACTGCTCTTCATGTTCAGGTTTTCATATTGCTTTCGTAGGGATTGAAACTTCACCTTCTTTACTGATGCGTCACCACCGTAACATCTCACCAGTAAATCCCATGCCCTTTAGACGTTGTTGAGTCAGCAATCTTCTCGAACACACTTTCATCCACACACTGATGGATATAGAACAAAGTTTTCTGGTCCCTCTTCCTCATCATCCTCTCAGCAGTTCTCTATTCTTTAGTTACATCTGCTGCAGCTGGTACATAACCATCTGTAATCAGATCCAGAACATCTTGTGTACCAAACAGTATACGCATTTGTATCATCCATATGTTCTAATTTTTGCCATTAAAAACTGGAAGTTTGGTGTTCAAACTACCGTCTCCACTCATTTTAAACCTTGCACGGATTTTTCAGATCTTCAAACACACTGTTTCCCAACCCACATAATCAAATTCTATTCAGATTTTGTTCAAGATTTCAACAGAAAATCAATGAACTAAAATCAAACACACAGCTCACAAGCACTCGTGTTTCCCAGGAAAAACAAAACCAAAAGCTCTAGATACCAATTTGTTGGTGCAAGGTAATGAAAGGGAGAAGAAGAATGAACAATGAATGATAACAAAGAGGACTACTTTTGTATATTCAAATAGATGAATGAATTGAGTTACAATATTGGTAGCCTAGGTAGCATATTTATACTAAAATTGAAAATGCCAAAAGACCCTAATAAAGAATAAGCATTGGGAATTGTAAACATTAACTAAATTACATTTCCAATAAAACTGTGGTTTGAATTGGATGACAGTTTTGAATCTAAATCCCCTTAATCTGGTCCGTTGTCCACCCCTAATAATGCATATGACTGCTACAGAACATGGTTGAAGTGCATCATTTTACAAACCATGGTTGATGTGTCAGGCAGTAACATTAATTCACAATGAAAGCATTGTAATTATCACACAAATATCAAGAATATTTTTGACATAGTCAAGTATCTTAAATCATGTAATTTTCTAGTTAAATAATATTTTAAAGTAAATTAATTTTTAATTTTTAATTCTTTTAAAATTTAACTTTAAACAATCATTTATAAGGGTGTTTAAAATCGAATCGATCTAATAGAAAATCTGCAAACCAAACCAAACCAAATCGAAATTGTATTTGATTCAGATGTATTTGAGTCATTTTCTAATAAAATCGTGCGGTTTGATTCGATTTACAATTTGTAATTTGTAAACCAAATCAAACCGCATTATGTTACAAACCCTTATTTATCGTTATATATATATATATTTTTTTATTTTTTAAGAAAAATCAACTAATATTACATGTATATTTTATCATATTATATGTATAAAGTTTATTTAATTTATATTTCAACAAAAAACAAAATAATATTAATTTATAAATACTATTTTGACAAATATATTTTATCGTATTTTTCGTATGATATTTATTTAATAATGTAATTTCATATATATTTTTCTTTAGACCACAATTTTATACATCAAATTATAATTTGTTTTTTTTACAATTATAAATTTATTTATTTTATAATAATATATGAATGATTAAATACAAAATTATATTTTCTTATATATATATATATATATATATATATATATATATATATATATATATATATATATATATATATATATATATGTGTGTGTGTGTTTTTTTCAATAATATATATTTTTTAAGAAATCGAATCAACTCAAAGTGTATTAGTTTAGTTTGATTCAATTTTATTTTTAAAAGTCAATCAAATTAAACTGAGTCAAATCAAATCGCATATTTTTCTCTTGCTATTCAAATATTTTTAAAACTAAAATAGTCCAAATTGCAGCACAAAAACCCTATAAGTCACTTATAATTTTATGATTGTGATTTGTGACTATGGCACATTCCATTCAATTAAGGATCTGATTACTCCTAAGTAATGATGACTATCTCCATGATAATCAGAGTTCATTCCCTCCAATTCATTATTTAATTATTTTTTCTTCACTTTTTAAAATAAAAATTAAAAGAAGAAAAATATTTTTCTCAACTAATTTTCTGTTTTCCGTTACACTCTCGATACATAAAAACCCTAATTCCTCAATTTCACCCAAAACTGAATCCAATTCTCGCACCATGAACAACCCCTGCGATCTCGCCACACCTAATTCCCAATCAGTACCTGAAAAAACCGAAGAGCTTCAACCATCATGTGCCCCCAAAACCACCAACAAGAAGAGGAAGTCACCAGGATTAACCACTCCTGTGAAGAAATCCTCAAGGGTAATAGTCACTATCATTATCATCAATTTTATCATGTTATGGTTTTGATTAGTACTGCAATGTGGTGAATTGGAGTAATTGAGATGATTTGGTTTGGATTTCTGCTAGTGTTTTGAGTTATGCATTGAGTTTTGAGATGGGATGGTTGAGTGCTTTGTAATGCATGTTTATTGTTTTATGCAGAATAATACGCCGAGGAAAAAAGTTTTGGGTGATGGTGTTAAGGGGAGTACTTTGCCTAATGTATTTAGGAAAATTGATTTGCGGTTGGAGGCAAAATTGTCAGCTGAGGTTAGTGTTCCTTCAGCTTATTGGAGTTTTGCTTAATAAGTGTGCCTCTTTATACAATAAGTCTTTTCATGGATTTTTTTGAAGGAATGTTTATGAGATTTTAATTCTTACTACATTGAACTTAACCCGTATTATGAGTTATGACTGCGAGTGTGTGCAACTTGGGTTTATTTGTTGCTTTTGTATGATGTGTTCTATGTTTTTTTATGAGTTTTTTACCTCCATTTCGATCAGGAAAATTCAAAGATGTTTGCGGGACGGCAAATACATCCCTTCTTTTCATCGTGGAAGGTGGAGAAGAAATCTAGGGATTCAGCTGGTTCAGAAGGCTGTTTGTCTGATGCTAAGGGGGAGAGTAGAAGAACTATCTGCGGTCCTATTCATGTATTTGAAGAGATTCGGGTATGGTAGATCTGTCTATGATTTAATTTGGTAGCTTGATTTGAGATTAAATTAGGTGTTTATCGTTTATTCAGGCACGTACCTTTTTATGGGGTTTTGTGTGTGTGTGTGTGCAAGGGAACAATTTACTTTAGAGGGTAAAGTTAGGAATCTCATCTGTTGATGAGGAAATCAATTGATGATAGTATATCTACATGTACATGCATAACAAACACAGTTGAGATTCTTTATTTTACCCTAAGAAGTGAAAGCTCACTCACTTTATGTGTGTCTGTGTGTATCCCTGCTCTCTGGGTTTTAACTTTTGTTATTTCATTTTTGTTTGAGCTAGCCATAAAATTTGCTAATGCAGGATTATACTTCATCTCTTGACTGGAGTGGCTGGAAATTTTCGGGAAATACCACTGTTGTAGATTGTGGTCCAGAAAGTTCAAATTTATCTGTTATGGAGGGTTCTGTTGAACCCTTAAATTTTGATAACTTTCTTAGAGGTGTGAAACCCTCAAGCGCTTCAATTTCTCAGAATGCAGTGTCTTATTCAGATAAGCTATCTACACTATCAGAAAATATGAAGGAAATGTCACCAGAAAACTCAGCTGTGCTAGCTAATGACCAAACAACATGCACTTTAAAGCCGGAAGATGGCATAGTGGTACGCAGTTTTTTTTGTATAATCTGATCAACACCTTCTGTTTGCATTAACCAGCCCCCTTTACTGTAGGTTATCAGTGGAAACTAGTTTAGAGGGGGAAGTATACCTCAGCTCTATGCCAATGACTTTTTACTGTTTCCAAAAATTGTCTCCAGGACTTGGAGGTGAACGATGACAGTACTGTATCTGGGCAAGCATGCATTTTTGGAAAATCAGATGCCAAGCCACCGAGTATGTTTCTTCGAGAAAGGTTAAATGTGATCCGCACCTGATGTCTTATGGGAAACTTTACAATATCCAATTATGTCATTGTCACCAACATGACTAGTTTTACATTTTTGTTTTTGGTGATTTCATATTTATGTTATGCACATTCCCATTTATATTGCAGATGCTGCTACCAACCTTTTGGCGAATGTGTTGTGCATAACTTCCTTGTCCTCATTTTTCTTTTCCATTGACACAACAGTCACCAAACTTTTGTCTAGGGCTCAATTAGTTGACCCTTATGTCTTGAAGATATACACCTTAGTTAATTGGTTGATTTGTAGTTATTTTTTCTTTAAGTAATATAAGGTTGTGAGATCATTTTTTGGTATCTAATGTATACATCTTGATATGTGGTATATCAGTTTCAGCAATTTATTTCTGCTACCCTTATTCCACATTCTTTCTCCTAAACTAGTTGGTATGGTCTGGTTACTCTGATCGCCTCGGTAGTTTAGCAATGGGATTGATTGATCATTTAAAAGAAAATGGCTGTATTACCGATGCTTGTTTTCTAATAAGACCATTATTTTTTAATCCCTCTGCAAAGCTTTGCTAGCAAATATATTTTCCGATAGTGAAGTTTTCCCTACTATCATATTGCAGAATGAACTCTTTCTGCCATAGTTGTGAAGATAATGCTGAGAGCAGCTTATGGATACACAAGTACAAACCAACAAAAGCCTCGGAGGTCTGACATTTCTTGTTCACAGCGTAATCTATTTTAAAAGTAAATATTCAAGTTGCATGTTTTGATTCTAAATTTTCATACTTCCTGAATCATAAATTTCTTGTTTTATGATATTTATTTAGGTATGCGGTAATAATGAATCCCTGAAATTCTTGCGTGACTGGTTACATCTTTGGCATGAAAGACGTTATCAAAACAGAAAGGGTTCCTCTAACAAGGATCATATTGGCATACCAAATGTTGATAGTGAGTATAACTGTCCTGGTGATAACCATGCTTCAAAAGATGAGGGTTCCCTGAAGAATGTTCTTTTAATTACAGGACCAGTTGGGGTATGAGGATACATAACCTTGCTGTTGTGCTATGAATGAACTGATTATATAACCATTTCAGAATTGAATTCTTTGGACCTTCTGCCCATCATTTGATTGAAATCTCAGTCTTTTTTTATTTATTTGTTTTTTAAATAGTATAACACCTTCTCTTGTACTTTTGAGTATCTGGTTACCCCCATTCAACTATATATGATCAGAAAATATTCAGAAAAGTTTAGTGATTTAATTGGCTTTCTAATGATTAATACACAGAACAGCTATCTTTGTTTTTCTTGGCATTTTTTATTTTGATGAAATATGTGATGAAGTCTAAACTTTTCCATTTGTGCTTTATAAAATTTTCTTGCAATGGATTAGTGTAACATAGCTGCACCTCTGTTCTGTTATGCATAATATCTGTCGAGGAAAATTCTATAAGTCTTTGAAACTTATTTAACATAATAGTTATTTGGAATGATTTTCATGGCATGTTTGGTATTCTGATCAAAGGTATAAAATCTAAAATGTCCAATTTGTGCCATAAGTTAATTGTCGTGGTTAAGTTGAATGTAGTTGTTGATAATTCAGAATTATCACTCTCTGCTCCCAAATTCAAGTTTTCTGCATATACATTTCTTGTCCATAACTTCATATTGGTTGCTGAAGCATGAGTCTGATATTGCAGAGTGGCAAGTCTGCAGCTGTATATGCTTGTGCGCGAGAGCAAGGGTTTGAAGTTTTAGAGGTATCCATTTATAAATTTGTTTTGGTTATTTATGCTTTCAACTGATCCACCTTTGTAATGATAATATTCATTGATTTCATGCCCCTGTAAATCTTAAATAGTCAATTTTTTAAAAGCAGATATAAGGTCAAGCATGCATAGAAATTAATTAGACAAATTGGGATACATATTAACAATGTTAAGCTTGCCATTTCTATTTTTTGGAGCTATGTCGTTCGATGAAAAATGTGGAGAATGATAATCTAATAGTTGTATTGTTATAGTCAACAGAGGTGTTTTGTTTTCCTGTTTTTTTTGGGGGGGGTGGGGGTGGGAGGATACTTGAGAAAAATATGTGGCACATGTCTTGGCAGTCCTATGAGCATCCTTTCAAAAAAGATATATTTAAGTTTCTAAAAATGATTCCTTTCTTTGTTTTTATGTATCTGTAATTTCCGTTATTGATTTGGCCAAAACTATTAAAGGTTTTCTCTCATGTCAACAGCTCAATGCATCAGACTGGCGAAATGGGGCTGCTGTCAAGCAGTATTTTGGAGACGCTCTTGGATCACACTGTGTCAAAGGGTTTGTTAGTTTGTCCTGTCAATGCTTACTAATAACTGTGAAAAATAGGAATAAGAAATTTTTTGAATGTGTTTGAGTAAAGCACTCAGCAACCTTGATATTTATACACACTATATAATTAATTACATATTATGTTTACAAGGAGAAATAAATAATAGTCCAACTCCCTAAATGCATGAATCTAAATATACATGAACCTAAGACTTAAATGTTTATTTTAGTGGGAAACATACTATTGGTTTTTCTATTTCCAACAATACTTATTGCAATTAAAATCATCTGTACCCGAGTTTTTTTTAAAATTTTTGACAGTACTTAAAAGTTAGATACCCGTGGTTTCACTTTCCTTCAACATTTTATTGGCAAATAATAATTACCAAAACAAACATGAGCTAAGCATTAATAAGTGCTTTTGGGGTCTATAGATGTCTTAACTCTTGAGCAATAAGCTTTTAATATTGACTGGGCTGGTTGCGATATTCATTCTTCACTGAGGATGAGACCTTCCTTATTTCAATTTTATTTTAATAAAATCAAGTTACTTGTTTTAAAAATCACTACTATCAAGATACTGTGGTAACATATTTTATATGCTGTATATCTCAGGTTAGTGAAACATTCTGTCAGTTTAGAGAAGAAAAGTATGAAATTGCTCCCAGCTCCAGCTTCACCTAATGTGAAAGCAGCTGAAGAGATGGCTGATGATGTGATTGAAATGATAGCCATATCTGATGATGGAACTCATAGTCCTGGTGGAACATCTCAGAAGTTGCACGATATTAATGATGAACTTGCATCTGATACTGTCCAAACTTTAATTCTAGTTGAGGATGTTGACATCCTTTTTCCTGAAGACCGTGGATGTATTGCTGCCATACAACACATTGCTGAGACAGCAAAAGGGCCAATTATACTGACCAGCAACAGTGAGATGGCTTGCTTCAATAGTGCATTATTTCTCTGTATAAAGCTTTTATCTATGTGTTTATATTGATGTGTTCATTTTTGTCAATTAGGTAATAATGCTAGCCTGCCAATTAATCTCTGTCGACAACGTGTTTCTTTCTCATTGCCATTGCCGGATGAGTTGCTTCGCCATTTGTTCATGGTACGTGGTTTAGAATTTCGAACCCCTTAAAAGAAGGGAAAGACTGAAAGTGAAATTTATATCTTCTGCGGATGATCTGTAGGTTTGTGGCACAGAAGAAGTTAACTTCAATCCTCTTTTACTAGAGAAGTTTATCCAGTCTTGTGACAGAGATATTCGTAAAACCATTATGCATCTTCAGTTCTGGCTGCAGAATAAAAAATATAGCACAGGTGACATAACATACCATTTTAAGATGAAGATATTGTTTGATTGATAATCATATATTCAATACATCTGATTAATAATTGTTTGACTGATAATCATATATCCAATACATCTGATTAATAGATAGAAATATGTTATGTTAAATATATTCCTTATCTTCAAGTTGTTATATGCTTTATGTTTAGAACTAGATTGCAGATATGCATGTATATGACTTACAAGAAAACCATAACTGCTCAAATTTTGGATCACTAATGTATAATTTGATCGTTCTCTTACAATTATAGTTTACCCCTTTATCTTATTAACGGCTTGTTGAAACTTGAATTTTCTTTTTTCACTGTCCAGACAAGAAAGTGCAGACACTATATGGCTCACTTCCTTTTGATCTTGAGGCTGGTCATAAGATACTACCAAAGATGATACCGTGGAGTTTTTCCTCTGAGTTATCCAAACTAATTGATAATGAAGTTTCCAAGTCAATAATCATAGCAGAAAATAACTCAAGATGGGAAGGGTTAGTTAACGAAGAGCTTTGCATAAATGACGAGCAAAATAGCTTAGATGTGCAGTGTACAGGAACTGTTTATTTAGAGCCCAAGATAGAGGTCATGAAGAGAATTGAACCTATTACAGACTGCAGTGAGTTTGATAGTCAATATAGTGCTATCACTGAGCTTAGTAATTGTTCTGGTTCCCCAGTAACATCCTCTTTGCAAAAGGACCAAGGTCAACTTTTTGTGATGTCCTCTGTTGATATGGATAAGGGTCCAAATAATAGGCATTCTGTAAATGTTCATGACGAAGCTTACACGAGACAAACCCATGAAGGCAACGCTGAATCTTTCTTTAAGTTTCTATTGAATCAAAGCTATGCCAACATGTCTTTTTGCGAGCTGCTGCATTCTAGTTTGGAAGATTCAGAGGAGGAACATTGTAAATATTTGGAAACAACTTATGATGCATGCTTAAACAAAACACACAAATCACCTGATCTGTCCCGTTTTCCAGAACCAAGTTTTGTTTCCAAGACTGCAAAATCTGAAGTAGTGTCTTCTGGGCAGCTTGCCTGTCCAGTAGATGTTTCTCTGGATAATGAACTGAAACCATTCTCTTTCAGGGTTTGTCAGAACTTGGCCGAAGTGCCTAAAGATCCAGATTTGTTGGTGAATACTGAAATTCCCAAATCTTCTCCAAGAGCAACTTCACAAGATCTTACTGATGTGAACATGGAAATTACATCTGCATCTGTTTATAACACGATGGATGAGTGCAGTCAAACTGATTTAAAGTTGGAGTCAAAGTCTGTTGACTGTCCATCTATTGAGATAGATATGGTGCAAAATTCGTGGAGGAAACTTCGTGATTGTCAAACAGATTTAAAACAGCATGCCACCTCAGAACAGATAGGTGCTATCGAAGTTGCTAAACTTGCTAGTGGGCTGAGCGATCTAATTTCAGAAGCTGACTTGTTGTTTCGTAATCACCAGCAAAAACAGTGTGTAAGTACCTTGACAATTTTGTTTTTTTTCAACTGTATTGTATCCTAATCGTTGTTATAATACTCTAAACATGCAGGGTATTATGGAACCTCCAATTTTCCTGGCTGATGATGCCACATTTAGTTGGTATGATGAGCAAATGATGATGTCAACTGTTGCTGAACATGGTTTCTGCTTTTATGCCAAGCATATAGTTGACGCGGGATCCAAATTCGGTTTTGAGAACAGGGTAGACGTAACTTCAGAGATGTTGGCTTCTACTACAAATATTATGGCTTTGGGGAAGTTGTCTAGACAGGACCACACCAAAACAATGAGTAACTATACTAAAGAGCTATTAGAGGTGAACAACACAAGAAATGATAAAAAGAGGTATATATAGCCCTGCCTTTCAGTTTGGTAGTTGTCTACACCTGTTTCTTAAAATTATTTTTCATTATTTGTTAATATTGATATCAATTTAGCAGTATGCAATACAATGAACGCAGACCATCTCTGTTCAATGTGATCCGATCCATTGTTCCTAAAAGATCATCATCTACAATTAAAGGCATTGCATTCAACGATGTTCTTTCTTCACTACGCCAAATTTCAATTTCAGAGGGTTTCCGCATGTCACAAGGTGTTAAAAACATGAGAAAAGGAAGGTACATGTTTGTGGGATCAAATTCAGTTGTTTTCAACCTTTGGAATGATTGAAAAAGTTAATCAGAAAATTCTTAAATAATTTGCTTAATGTTTTTATGCAGGCGAAGTGCTCGACATTATTTGAGCAGAGGTAAAATGATGTTATCTCCTGAGGATATATCATTGGTGTGTGAAGGTGACTTGTACAGAAAGATATACTCACAGTATGCTGCTAACATGGAAAATATAACAGTACATGATTGAACATTGTAATTTAGATTTAATTTAATAATAGGGCCATTCATTCGTTGTTATTTTAGTTACATATACAATAAGCTTTGACTTTGGTGGTTGGCATAGAGCTAGGCTCATATTTTTCCGTTATGATTATTATGATCATGCGTCGGGATTGTAATTTAAATAGAGCAATTGGATTCTAATAAGTGGAAATTGTAAAAACGATTAATTGCGCGTACACTAGCATTTTTTTGAATAATCTTATTTTCACTACATTTGCATACCAGCTGCCTTGTGTTGCATCTTCATTTCCTTTACCATAAATTAGTGTCTATTAGTGATGTTCGTGGTACACTTTTGATAGAAAATCAAATTATTATATATATTCATCCGAATTGAATCAAACAGATTTTAAAAAAGTTTTAATTTTTTTAAAATCGAACTGAATCAAAAATTTTGGTTTGGTATAATGGTTTGGAATTCCGAACTTACTAAACCATTAGAAGCCAATTTATTATAAACTAACTATTTGTTAAAAGAACTAAACCATTATATTTGATTTTGATTTTTTAAATAAATTGACTTTTTGATCTTAGAAAAAATTGAGTTTTTTATTTTCGAAAAAAACCGACCTCTTTGAATTCGAAAAAAAATTAACTTTCTTATTTTTGAAAAAATTGATTTTTTTTTTGAAAAAATCGACCTTTTGATTTTTGAAAAAATCACCTTTTTGATTTTTGAAAAAATTGACATTTTGATTTTCAAAAAAAGTAAGTTTTTTTTATTTTTTGAAAAAATCGACTTTTTGATTTTTGAAAAAATCTATTTTTTTTATTTTTTGAAAAAACCGACTTTTTAATTTTTGAAAAAAATCTATTTTTTGATTTTTGAAATTAACGACTTTTTGATTTTCAAACAAAGCAATTTTTTTTTTTCAAAAAAATCGACTTTTTGATTTTCGCAAAAATCAAAATTTTTTATTTTTGGAAAAAGCGACTTATTGATATTTGAAGTGAGCCATGCTCAGACTTCCACCATATTTTCATATCTTCAGTTTTAAATGATGAATCCATACCCTTAATTAAGTCACATGTTTCAAAGTATGATCAAATATCAGTGCAAACATTCCCCCCTTCATATTTTAATCCTTCATCCTTTACAAATGATCCTTTGGTATAAAAGACAACCTTAAATAATCTCATTGCCTACACATTTAAAAAAAAACAAAGATAACTCAGACATTACCAAGAGATTAAAACCAAAAAATCCTAGATTTTGAGACCAGCAAATGGGGCATGCAACAAACAATCAATACTCAAAATGAATAAACTATAGCAAGTTGAACTTATCTAATCGTTGTTGGGACCGCAACAACCAACTCAAAATTCATCAATGTTGGGACCACAAGATAGAGATAGAACGACGACTTTTTTTGGAGAGAGGGACCACTGTCGAAGAATTTTGATTTTGAAACACGAGTTATGTCACTTAAGTAATGAATTCCATATCATAAAAGAAAAAACAAATTATTTAATTCATCTGTCTTGCCACATAGGAAGCCGTCAGTGGAATTTGACGTTGAGAATCAATTATTCAGACGGAAAATTTTAAAGAGACAAAATCTTAAAAAAAAAAAATTGAAGGACTAAAAACAAAATTTGAAATATTTAGAGGGACCAAAAACTTATTTAACCATTTTTTTATTTTGTTAATACATTTATATATTTTACTTTTATGTACTTATTTTGTTTACGGTTAATAAATAATTTTATATTTTGTATGTTTTCAACGCACTTTCATGGTAGGTAGTTATTAGTTGTGATGAGTTTATTTCAGCAAATAACTTGGTTTAGCAGTGTATGGACAGTAAGTATGACTAGTGAAAAAATTGGAGTCCTACATCGTTTTTTTTTGTTGTTGATATGAATAGTGTATATATCTCATTAATAGTAACAACATTATAAACAAGAATTTCTTAGTGTACTTTGTGTTTCTTAGGCACTTCGGTGAAATTTTAAAGATATTTCTGAAATCGAAAATGCATTTCTAATATATATCATACAACGTGGAGTTATTAAAGAAAAATAATATCATCATATGATGAAATTACTCAACCAAGGTTCCATTAAATTGAATGAAATGAAACATACTGAGATAGCAAAGGTGCTGAAAATCATCAAAAGTTGAAGCTTTTCAGAGCGCAATCCTATCTTTTAATACAATCAGTGTCAGTGACAACAGCCTCCCAAACACAAAGGTTAGTGACTAATTGGAGTGGGCTTGGTAAGGTTTGGTCCATTATGATTTATTTAAGTATTTTGATTAATTAATTTACTAAAAAATATAATTAAAATTATTCATTAATTTATTAATTAATAAAAAATATTAATTAATATATTAATTTAATCATCAATGTCACGTAGTTGAAAATGTTTTTTGTATTCCAATCATCAGCACTACCACATATGCAAAAGTAAAAGGAGACCAATTAAATCTCAAATGATATAAAGTTTAAGAATTAGAATAACTGATTTAAAAAAAATGATTAAAAGTTAAAAAACTTGAAAATAAAAATTAAAAATACATTTAAATCAAATAAATATAAACATGAGGCTAACCTTCAATTAAATAAAGAGTAATTAAATTAAAATATAAATAGATTTAAGTATAAATAAAAGTGAAAATGAAATATGTATCGATAATATATGATTATTTTACACTGTCAATCAATCACCATTGCGTATCATGTTACATCAGACTATAAACTTTAAATTATTGATATAACATAGTTGAACAATTTATCTTATTAATTGATATTATAAAACTATTTTACACTGTCAATACATAATCATTAAACTCTAAATAAAATAAAAAGAAGATAAAAAATATATCAGAATCAAATTAAGTTTATTAAAGAGAGATTCAATAAATTAATTGTATTTAAATTGAAGAAAGATCGAAGAAAGCTTACAAAGAAGACCCATATAGCTTAAAACTCTCTAAGAATCTCTATGATATGTAAATAAAAGAATGTCTTACAACATGGAATAACATTCCTTTAAATAGAAAAGAATAAAAAACTATTTTTTCTACACTTGATGTAATTTTATTTGAATTATAGTATATACGAGTAAATGGTTTACCATGTCTCAAACAAATAAATTGTTGATATTATTGGGCTAAAGTAAAAATTTGTTTGTAGCTACATCAAATGATGAAAATAATTGATGTTTTTTTTTTTTTTACATTTTGGTGGTCAGTCATCTATCAGGGTGATTGGTGAATATATTTTTGTAACAATCATCTTCATTATGGAAAGATGTATATGTTCTTCTATTTGCATATAAGTTCTGAGGATGACGCAACCAAGAACAAAATATATTTAACATCATCAACAATAATAATTACACTTTATTTTATTAAGTGAGTTGACTACATGAATTAACTTTCGTCATAATGTTTTATTAAGAATCATATTTTTATCTAAATTATTAATTTTGAGATATTTCTTGATAATTTCTCTTAGTCTTTTTGAGTCTTCCTTTCCTTCGAATTGTTTGTCTTTCCTCCATCTGGTCTACTCTCCTTACTACAGAGTCTACATGTCTTCTCTCTACATGTTCAAACCATCTAAGTCTATTTTTCACCATCTTCTCTACAATAGGCGCTACTCCAACACTCTGTCTAATAATTTCATTTCTAGTTTTATCATGTCGAGTCTTACCACACATCCACACAACATCCTCATCTCTGCTACACCTACTTTATTCTCGTGCTGGTTCTTAACCGCCCAACATTTTGTTCCATACAAAATCGCAGGTCTTATCGCAGCCCGATAAAACTTTCCCATTAGCTTGAGCAGTACCTTTGCATCACATAAAACACCCGAGACCTTTCTCCATTTCATCCATCCAACTTGAATGCGATGATTTACATCACCTTCTATTTCTCCATAATTATGTATTACAGACCCAAGATATTTAAACCGCGTGACTTGAGGGATAATATGGTCTCCTACTTTCACCTATAAGTTAGAAACCATGCTTCTTTTGTTAAACTTACATTCCATATACTCCGACTTACTTCTGCTTAGGCAAAAATCATGTGTTTCTAAAGCTCTTCTCCAAGCCTACAACCTCTCATTAACTCCTCCCTTGACTCTCCAAGGAGGACTATATCATCTGCAAAAAGCATACATCTCAGCATTATCTCTTGGATTTGTTCCGTGAGTACCTCCAAAATTAAGGTAAAAAGGTAGGGACTTATGATTGACCCTTGATGTAAACCAATTGTGATGGGGAAATCGTCTGTCTCTCCACCCTATGTCCTAACACTAGTCAATACCCTTTCATACATATCTTGGATAGCTCGAATATATGCAACCCTAACCCATTTATTCTCTAGATCTTTTCACATAATCTCTATAGGCAATCTATCATACGCCTTCTCCAAGTCAATAAAAATCAAGTGCAAGTCTTGTTGGTCCATTCGATATTGCTCCATCACCCGCCATAATAGATAAATTATTCCATGGTTGACCTTTATAGCATAAAACCAAATTGATTATAAGTAACTTGAGTCTTTTTTCTTAATCTCCATTCGATCACTCTTTCCCAAAATTTCATGGTATGACTCATAAGCTTGACTCCCCTATAATTTATAAAATTTTGTATATCCCCTTTGTTCTTATAGATAGGAACTGAAGTGTTTCTCCTTCATTCGTCCGACATGTGTTTTGACCTCATAATTTTATTAAATAATTTGGTGAGCCACTCAATATCTCTATCTCCAAGAATTTTCCATACTTCAATAGGTATGTTATCTGGCTCCACCGCCTTACCGTTACTCATTCTTTTCAACACTTCCTTTACCTTCTGTTTCTGAATCCGACAATAGTAACTATAGTTCCGATCCTCTTCTCTTATGTCTAGTCCGGTAGAGTCATACCCATATCTATCATTAAATAAGTTGTGGAAATACACATTCCATCTATCCTTTATATCTTTTTCCTGCACTAAGACTTTGCC